TATCACATTTTCCTTGTCCATTCATAGCATAATATTTGGATTGTTTCCACTTCTAGGCTATTATGAATACTGTACTTGTCAACATCAATATTCGTGTACAAGTTTTTGAGTGGACCTCTGTTCTTACTTCTCTTGAGTGGAATTGCTGGGTCGTAAGTAACGGTTTAAAACTTTCTGAGTTACTGCCAAATTATTTCCCAAGCACCCACACCATTTTACAAGCCCAGCAATGTAGGAGGGTTCCAATTTCTGCACATCCTCCCACCACTTGTTATCATCATCTGTCTTTTTGATTAGTCATCTTAGTGGGTTTGAAGTGTTATCTCATTGTGGTTTTGATTTACATTTCTATAATGGCTAATGATGTCAAGCATCTTTTCATGTGCTTTTGGCCGGCCATTTTTATATATTCATCAGAGAAATATCTGTTCAAATCTTTGCCTATTTTAAAATTAGGTTACTTATCTTTTTCAGTTTCTGTTCATTTGCTCATTTGTTTTTCAAGGAACATTTAATAACAATGTAGATAACATATACTTATCTAATGTGGTACTTTTTTATCACTGAAGCTAAAGCAAAACATCCTGTTTATTAGGTAAAAAGGGCCTGCTTAATGTGTGTACACTGCAGTGCAATATAAAACATACTAATTATAATTTCAAAACTTCAGAATTTGAGTGTCAGCATTCTCTCTTTTTTTCATATGGGAAAAGAAAATGCTTTTGAAAATCACTTGAGAGGCACCTGGGTGGCTCAGTTGGTTAAGCGTCTGCCTTTGGCTCAGGTCATGATCCTGGAGTCCCGGGATCGAGCCTCGCATCAAGCCCTGCATCGGGCTCCCCACTCAGCAGGGAGTCTGCTTCTCCCTCTGACCCTCACCTTACTTGTGCTCTCTCTCCAATAATTAAATAAAAGGAAGGAAGGAAGGAAGGAAGGAAGGAAGGAAGGAAGGAAGAAGGAAGGAAGATAAAAAGAAAATCACTTGGACTTGGACAAAATTCCACAGCTATTTTCTTAGGATCACTCTGTAGGGTCTTCATGATTCAGATGACACAAGGGAAGCTTCAATTCAACATTTTAGAGAAGACATTCCAGCTCGCATGATCTCATCAGTCAGGATAATGTTGGTGGCAGTCACCATGCAGGAGTGAAGAAGCTGTCTCTTTACACAATAGTTATCCCATATGCCTACTTCAGCTGCTACCACTGGCTCACCTATGTTCAAGTACACACCCACAAGCTGACTTTATTCTGAATGTTCTGCTTGAACTTTAACTAGTGTTTCCTGAAGGTCAAAACCAGAATTCTGAACAAGAACCTTGGGAATAATGAGCAGTGCATCGGCAAATGCTTGAACTCCCAAGTTGGGCCTTGCCCTTTATACTGAGTTTATATTTAATCAAGCTTCTGCCATTGCTACTTCACTGCACCAGTACCTGGAACTACACAGTCATCATCAGTAGCACTTTTAACAGCCCTCAAACCATCTCTTACTGCATCTTTGGTTTGAGTGTGTGCTTATTTGGCCCTTTGACCAACAATGTGACAGAGCAAGGATTGTTACATTTCTCTTCTCAAAAGTATACTCATAGACAAGTCCTGCATGTCCCAAACAAACAGGATTTAGGTCATTAAAAGAATTTAGAGCTACTTCACTGCAAGCAAGACTCAGCCTTTCCATATTTCTCCTTTTAGCTCTACACAGAGCTACTCTGCTTTCTTTTGCAATAGCTTCTAAGGAAAAGGTGTCAATTCCCTTTTGATTAGTAACAACAAATCCTTTATCTGAATCATGCAGACTTCCTTTTTCAGTTGTTATTTTTTTAACTCTATCTTCAATGAATTTTCTTTCAGCTTTTACAAGTTTCTCTCTTCTGCACACTTGTAAAAAAAAAAAAAGCCAGAATTCACTTTTATTTTTTCATATTCTAATTACACTTTGCATATGAGGATGTATGCATTTTCTACCTTTTTTTTCATATCAGGATGCCATGCCCCATGGTCCAAAATAAGACCTTTGATTAAGCTTGTATTGGTTTCAGATTTATGTTTCACCTCCATGGTCTCAAACATGAAGAGGTCCCAATAGGTTCATCTTGTTTTTTAAAGACCAAAATGGAGTCCACTACAGCCTGTTAAGACAAGTTCACCATGCACTTTAGTATGTAGAGATGTTCTGGCCACATCTCTTAAGTGTTTCCCTGTCCATTTCTTTGCTTACTTTGACTTTTCCAAAAACTGAAGTACCTTTTCCTTTACAGCTTCATATTCTTCTGCTGTTATTCTGGGACAAAGACTTTCAGAAACGTAGAGATCTGCTTCTTTCAGAAATGCTCTCCAATGATTAGGACATGGAAATGGTACCACCACCAATTATGTCATCCTGGGGTGTTACTACTTTGGCTACTGAGGAGGCTGTTGGGTGTTGAATTTGCATTTCACGAAGCAGCACCAGCAATAAGCACGTCCTGCAACCCCTGGGCCACGCTGATGTTGACTGCCAGGGCTACCTGGGCTCCGGCCACCTCAGCCATGGAGTTCAGAGTCTTCATGGCTGCCACAGCTACCCAGCACAGGAAGAGGAGGAGACCCGGCATGCGGAGTGCCCAAAGCCATCTCCCTATCTTTTTCAGTTTTGTGTTAGAAGAGTTCTTTATACAGTCCGGATACCAGGCCCTTACCAGATATATGACTTATAAATATTTCTTCCATCCTGTGGACTGTCTTTTCATGCTCCTGACAGTATATTCATCTACATTTTTCTTTCTTTTTTTTTTTTAAAGATTTTATTTATTTATTTATTAGAGAGCGAGAGAGAGAAACAGCATGAGAGGGGAGAGGGTCAGAGGGAGAAGCAGGTTCCCCGCCAAGCCGGGAGCCAGATGCGGAACTCATCTACATTTTTCTTTTGTCATTTATGCTTTTGGTGTGGCATCTGAGAAGGCTTCCTAACCCAGGGTCATTAAGATTTATTCTTAAGGTTTTTTTTAAGGATTTTATATAGTTTTACCTCTTTTAAGATTTCTGATCCACAAAGAGTACATTTTTGTGGATGATATAAGGAAGAGGTCTAGCTTCATTCATGTGGATATCATGTAGTTTCAGCACCATTTGTGGGAAAGGCTATTCTTTCCCACATTGAATTGTCTTGGCACCATTGTCAAAAATCAGTTAATCATAAATGTAAGAGTTTATTTCTGGTCTCTTAATTCTATTCCATTCCAATAATCTTTATAAAACTCCTTTTCTACTCAATTAGCTAGAGTATATTTCTTGCTTACAATCATGACTACTGCCTGTTTACAATCAATCAAATTTATGACAATTCTTGGACGTATGCTTAACCCATTTTCTTGACTATGGATGCTGTTTCGATGTGCCATAGTTGACAGCCAGTGATGGGGTTGGGGAGAGAGAGGTTGTGCTGCTGGGGTGAGAGATACCAAGTTTGTCAACTAGGTATAACACAATCATTCCCTTCCTGGGGCCTGGCAGCTGTAAAATCTACCCTCCATGTTGTAGTCTATATGCAAACCTCCCTAAAGTCTGCTATTTGGTAAAAGCATAGGAAAGGGTCCCAAAAAGAAGTGCCTACATTGTTCACCTTATTGCCTCAGGGATCTATTCTAATTTCAGCATTCTGTTTGGAAGATTTCTCCTGTTTTTGAGGAGAAAATTCTCCTGTACTCTCTTGGCCCCCCTTCTCACTTATTCACAGGGGAGAAGGTATGACTTACCTGATTGATGAGCTTAGAAAAAGGAACTGTGTATGTGATTCAGTCTCTCCTCACTTTGGTATAAGCCTTGCCTGCAAAAAGGATGCATTCTATTCTGCTTTCTCTACAAGTCAGACCTGCAGTTTTGGGACCTGAAGTATTTGGAGGAAAGAGACATACAGCAAACCTATCTTCTTAGAGTAAGCTATTTGCTCCATGTGAGCTTTTATCAGAAAAGAAGCTGACATTTTTATCTGTGTTGGTCTGACTTCTTTGTTTGCTCTATTGATCCCAAACTCCAGAGGGTAGACTCATTGATTAGGACTTCCCCACAAACTGCTCCTACCTTAGCAACAGTTCTCTCTTAGATGGGTTTATGGCTACAGACTTTTCTGGTTTGCCTTTTTGGATTGCTCTCTGTGCTCTTTTAAGGATTTCTGACCCACTGATGGTACTTATTTTTCTTTTGCAGTACTGTTATGACTTTATTCTTCTTTTAACATGTCATTTCATGAGGTTCTGATAGATGAAATAGATGCATAGATCAGTCCCTGATATTTTACTCTCAAGTAGCTACTAACAAAGTGAGACTAGACTACCTAAGTATAACAAGTCAAGCTCCTTCCTCTATTCCACTCCACCTTGTAAGATATAGCCCTTAGAGACCTTAAAAATCTTGTTAGAATGGAGATACTAATTCTTAAATCAAGATACTAAAGCAGAACTAAATACATAGCAATATACTGTTAGTAACTAATGTATGGAGAATAAGTACCCAAGAATAAGAAGTCACATCAGGTTATAAGAACAGTTAATTGAAAAGAAGCTTGAGATAATCTTGAAAGGAAACATACAATTCTAATGAGAAATAACAAGGCAAATAAGAACACAGAAATGGAAAAGTGCATGAAGAATTCCATTACAGGAGTATACCAAGCTTGTTGACTATATATAAAAGAATAGTGGGAAACAAAGTTAAGAAAGAGATCAAGTAAGAGACCCAAGTGAGCTCAAGAGCCATGTAAGACCAGAAAAGCCTCTGTCACTTTCATTCAAAACACATCTGTAGAACAGGTATTAAATCAACTGTGGATGAGTTATTTCTGAAGTAAGAGATCCATACACAGATGATATTTTATTGCAAAGTACTAAAAGTGTCCCTCAATCATTTACTACCACATACGTATATATTTATAAACAGGAAGTATGAGTAAACAATCAGCATATAAATAATTTAATTTTAAATTTCAGCAGGTATTCAATTACAATGTTTTTCATATATACCTCTGATATGAAAAGAGCCATCATCATTTCTCTCCACCACAAGATGGTCAATATGAACAGTTACAGGAGCTGGTTCAAGGGATATTGTACTACTACGAGGACTGTCATCCTACAGAAAGGAGAAACAACATCAGCATATTGTTATTAAAGTAAATGATAAAATTAATCATTTCCTTAACAAATGTTACTTCAGTCAATATTTTTAATGAGTTAGAAATTTATCTTTATATGCTTCAGTTGATACAGTGAAAAACTGCCCATCCTATTTTTGTTTTCTAATTTCTAAGAAGGATCTCTTCGTCATTCCCCCACAAAGGCCACAAATTCATTTCAATAAATGCTAATAGAGTATATATTATAGAGATGACATATTCTTAGACATGAATCAAAGTCTAGGTAAGCAAAGTGAACATTTACAACATGAAAATATAAAAATACTTATTAACATACTTTTAAATTAATTTTTGTGTTAGAAACTTGTATCTTCATTGGCATCACTGTTGCAACAGTTTCATCTTCCAAAAAATGTTGAATATTAGTAAGAGAAGATGTAAAAAACTCAGTGCTAAAGTTTTCTATATGGCATTGCAGAAATCCATTTTTTTCTGCAAGCAAAGAGTGAACTACAGCACCAGGCCCACTCTCAAATCTCAGAGTAATCTCAGGAGTGGATTTGGAATGAATTATAGATTTATGATCTGAACCTACAGAAAAAGAACACATAAAAATTATAACTTGTAGCACTACTCAAAAGTGTCACTCTCAATTATTTGTCATTAAGACATTATTGTTACTTTGTACAATGTTGAAGAAATAATATCTTAAAGTTTTAATATTTACTTTTAAGGGATACTTACAGTACATTTATAATATACCATAAACAACCTTAACTTCAATTTTTATAGATGACTTTCCATTACAATAATGTTGACTTGTCTATATTTTCTATTTCTTTGGTACCATGCAAACATACGTCATGATATAAATCTGATATGATGCATACCTAAGATACTTACAATCCATCTGAGTGTATACCTATCTATACATCTGTAATATAATGGACAACTGTGATAAAGAAAAAATCATGGCATTTAAAGTGATTCTTAAGCCATTTCTCAAGAAGTAACAAAAGCCTGAAGTTTTGCACCTTCCTCATTAAAATTAGGTCCTTAAATAATTAGAAAAGTAAATAGACAAGACCTCATTAAAATGCCTCTATTAGAAGACAATTTTAAAACTGATATTATAGCAAAGGATATATACATACACACACACATTTATATATAATACACACATATATATGTATATATACACATACACACACACACACACACACACGCCTTGGCCTTGTTCCAAAAAAGAATTTGAGGTGGCTTACAGAGATAAATACTGATTTCAAAAACAAATTTTAAAATTTCAATAAAGCACCCATACAATATCTGATTTTAAAAAAACAAAAGTTCCCAATGCAACCACTTAAGTGAAATGACCCTCATGGTAACTATTTTACTTTATAATACCTAGCTCCAAAAAGAATAGGAGGCAACACGGTCATAGCATACTTATATAAAAAATAAGTAAGCAATGGAAAAGGATAGAACAGAAATGGATAGTAAGATTAGTAACTCTGAACGCATTATTTACTTTTCTGTGCCACAGGTGAACCAAAAATGAACTTCCTAGCAGCAAAGAGAAAAATAGGATTAGTTTCACAATTCATAGAACCCAGTGAGTTAAAAACAAACTAAATGTTCTGGAAAAGTGAAACTGTTTCAGTTACTGAAGTATCAAATTTATCAGTCTCGAATTTATCAGTCTTGGTTGTCTTAAGAAGACCCTACTAATTAAATTAATGATGGGGAGATGTTTATTTTCCCTCAGCATGGATGTGAATACTTCAGTCTTATAAAAGTCAAATGTAAACATATTTGTGAAGGAAGGGGATTAAGAAAATAAACATACTTATATTTATGCACCAAGGATAGATCTCCATACACAACTTATAATGGAGAGTTGTTTTTATAACTTTATTTCAGGTACAGAATGATGTTTAATCAATGTTACTACTACAGATTAACATTCAAGATAAATAAGATAGAAACAAGAAGAGTTCAAAAAAATTCTAAAGAATTTTTGAATTAAGAACTGATTTTTTTTTAAATAAAAGGTAAAACAGCCACAAATTGATAATGGTTAGTGTTCTTTCCTATATCAAGACAAACAAGAGTTAATGTGTCTATTTGATAATAAGAGCAATTAGAGGGACTCCTGGGTGGCTCAGTCATTAAGCGTCTGCCTTCGGCTCAGGTCATGATCCCGGGGTCCTGGGACTGAGTCCCACATCAGGCTCCCTGCTCAGCAGGAAGTCTGCTTCTCCCTCACCCACTCCCCCTGCTTGTGTTCCCTCTCTCGCTGTGTCTCTCTCTGTCAAATAAATAAATAAATCTTAAAAAAAAAAAAAGAGCAATTAGAAACAACTTGGTAAATGTGATTTTGTTTTGCCTTTTACCTATTTATCTACATATCTATACAGAGAGAGAGAGAAAGAGAAAGAGAGAGAAAGAGAGAGAGAGAGAGATACCTACTCACTCTAAGGAGCTGAGAGCCAGAAATAATTTCAAACAAAGAGTATTTATTTGGAGCAGAGATCAAACAAAATCCTCATTAGTCAAAACTCTTTCCTTTCTTCTACCTTTTAGGCCATGAAACTATTATGTAAAGGTCTTCCTATTAAAGGACTCCAAAATCCATACATTATAGAAAAACAAAAACAAACAAAAGCAAAAACAACTTTGCAATTTTAATTGGTCATGTCAGAGTGACAGCAGATATAAATCATAGATCAATCTTTGTTCGTATGGCTTATTGTTTGAAATGTTCAAGCTAAACTATTTTTTCTCCCTTTCCTTTTATCCCATTTCCCCTTTCTCCTTTCTTTTCCTTTGTTTTCTTCCTTCTTATTTTTTGTTTATCTTTAAACAACCAACTGACACAGTTGAGAAAAATAAGGCACTAGCACTGACTATACAACCCACATATACTAAGCATTTCAAAATGATTTCTTCAGTAAGGAACAACATGAAACAAAGTAATAGGACATGGTACTAAGTGACCCATTAAAAGTAAGTAAAAACAACTAAGCAACTGGAAATAATCTTAAGAGTGTACAATTTGAAGAGCAGTTTGGATTGGGAATAGAACAGGATCTAGGTTTTGAAATTTCTTTTGTCCACTATGAAACCTTTCCAATTATATATTTAGCTTCCTCTATTTTGCATGCCATTGGGATTTATACTTCTAATAGAAAATTCTTCAAATTTTTTAACAGATACATTGTAAACTGCAAGGTCTATACATAGAAAAAAGCCAGGAGACAATTTTTTTCTATGATGCTGGTTTAAAGACAAATGGCACATTTACCTGAAATTCCCAGGATGTGAGGTGATAGCATACTTATTTGATATCATGCAGGACTATGTATTTCAACATGTTATGTATCAGATTTAGCATTCTGTATATATAGCAAAAAAAAATATTACAGCTCAGTGACTTTTTAAAGACTTAAAAAATTGAATACTGTCATTTTAAATGCTTAGTAGAACTATTCTAAAAAATAAATTTCTTCAAATGACTGAAAACCATGAGTGGTAACTCCATATAAACTTTGAAAAAGGGATGGTTTTATGTGGTTTCCTCTTCATACACTGCATGTTTTGTTGTTCATATTCCTCTATGTCCAAGTGAATGTGTGCATCTTAGAACGAAGGACCATAAGAACATGATACATGATTTTTCCAAACACCAAGTATCATGCTGGACTCAGGAAATGTTTGTTTATAAGCAAGATAATGGAATATAAAAATTGACATTTATTCCAGCATTGAACTAAGTTGGACATTCTAGGATTACTTTATCATTCTTTTCATATAGAAAAGAACTCAGTTTTCTTAAACCTATTATATCAAAGAATGAGAAGACCAAAAGAGATGGCACTTAACAAATAAAACAAAAAGAAATTAGAGAATACATCTTCAACACATTATATTTCTAACAATCAAAATACTATATGAAAATAAGGTAATCTAAAAGAAATCTCTTACATTATTATAAACAAATGTAATTTTCCTTGAATTTATTTATACCAAAGACAGAACTGCTAAGGAATTATATGTATAAAAAACAAAACAAGTTTAAATCATATTAAAGTCTTACCTATTGGACGATTACAAAGGTAATGCCGAAGACTGATATTGCCTAACTGATCTGGTGTCACTTGGTCCACTTGAAGACAGATTTCCATATCTTCCCCTCGGATGTCAATTTCCCCATTAACACCAGTAATTTTAAACACCACAACTGACATCTAATAATGATTGCATAAATAATATTAGCATACCAAGTAATTCAAAACAAAATTTAAGAAATGACACAGGAAACTACTATAACCTCTAAAAACACAATTGTGACCTATAACCAAAAATATACTTTTGACCAACAAAACATGATTATACATTACAGTCACAAACTTCAGCTTCCTTTCTTCCTATTCAGTCAAGAGAGAATTTTTTTAGGTCACAAAGATTAATTATATGACATTTCTGTGTGAAATTATTTTCACTGAAGGCTGAACATATTTTCTAAGTCATCTGTAAGAATATTTCACTGGGTGGGAAGGGCTTAAACCAGTAACATACTTCTTTTGTAGAAAGTTCCTCATGAGGACTGACTACCATCAACCATCAAACTTGTTTTCAAAATATATTTAAGTGGAACTATGATAAAGGTCAAAAAAATAAAAGATGGAAAAGGACAGAAGCTCCCCTCCTCAGTGGGAGAAAAACAGATTTAGAGAGTGAAATTCAGAGAAAAACAATTCAATAGGAGGGAAGGAAGCAATTTCAAGAGTAGCAAGAGCAAAGTGAGTCGCTCACTACTATGGCAATTCACTTACATATATTAATGTCATAAAATGTGCGCATATTAAATATGAAATAAAGGTAAAACAGCCTTGTGGCTGGCATTTCTCTTCACAGAATCTCTCTGAAATGATTACCAGGTCTTGATTTTCTTGAACACCCTCTGAATTTGTACTGATGGCATCTGGAGAGGTTTCACCAAAATTCTGTAGCTTTGCACTGGTATTTGCACTGTCTGCAAGGCTCTGGTAATTTGTAGTCACGTTCTTTTTAATACCTGAAGTAATAAAGAAATAAACTAACAAATTAAAATCAATTTTACACATGATCCAACAATGTTACATTTATCTAACCAATATGAGGCATCCCTTCACTCTTTCTCAAGCAAAGGCTTGTTTAAAAGATAATAAGCAAAGAAAAATTAAATTGTAATTAGCTAGCAAATATTAAGAAATAACGTCCACAATAAAATGTTAGAGATACTAAAGCCCTAAACTTAGTATGAAAAAAAATCTAAAATGCTGACCACAGTTTCCTCATTGCTGGTCCAGTGCTGGAGTAGCAGGTTCCTGGTCAGCCAGCTTTTGCCTCTCCCTATGCTATCCTACTTTGAATAGTCCCAGTTTAACCACTTCAAATCCCCTGTCAGTAGCCTGTGGTAACTTTTAATTATCATATCTACATGAAGTTAATGCCACTACTGCCAATGTGATATCCTCCATTCTTAACCTACCTGCCTTAATTTCTCAGTGTGCTGTATTTCATTATTTCTCAAACTCTGTGGTCAAAGACAATCTTAAAAAAATTCTGTGCCCATCACAGACCAATATGTCAAAAAAATACCGTAAAAATGAATTACTAGAAAAAGTGGATGAGAAAAGCCCAAGTCATGACACAGCCTCAGTTTTTAAATTATTACACAGTTAACCCTTGAACAGTGTGAAGGCTAGGGGTGCTGACCTCCCATGTAGTCAAAAATCCACATTAACTTCTGACTCCCCCAAAACTTAATTACTAATAGTCTACTATTGACTGAAGTCAATTAACATATTTTGCATATTATATGTATTATATGCTGTATTCATATAATAAAAAAAGCTAGAGAAAAGAAAACATCATAAAAAAAATCACAAAAAAAATACATTTACAGTATTGTACTGAATTTATCAGAAAAAAAAAATCCACATATAAGTGGACCTGTGCAGTTCAAACCCATGTTGTTCAAGGGTCAACTGCATTTACTATTATATATTCAGCTTCTAACCCAGTGCCTGGAAACACAGTTGGTGCTCAAGAAATCATCTACTGAATGAAAGGAAACAATGTTTAGGGCCAGGGAAGATACATATAAATACAATTCCCATTTCACAGGGGCCTCTCAGAGGTTAAGAAGGCTTCCTTGATGAAACAATATATAAACTAAAGTGAAAAAGCATTCTAGGCACAGGTACAAAGACCCTGAGGTAGATAAACATTTGTCACAGTGAAGAAACTGTGAAGAGTGAATTTAGAGAAGGAGTAAAATGTTCTATATTACACCTGAAGTATAGCCAACACATGGGTAAACAGCAGAACCAGTTAAGTTGTGGCCATATCACACAGAGCACTGTCAGTAATGTTAAGGTTTTTAAACTTAACAACCTTATAGCAGGGAGAAGTTATCAGGATTAAAATGGGGATCAACGTGATACTATTCACATTTTTGTTTGTTTGTCTGAAGTAAGCTCTACACCCAACGTGGGGCTTGAACTCACGACCCTGAGATCCACAGTCATGTGGTCTACGTGGTCTATGGACTAAGTCAGCCAGGTGCCATGATAATTAACATTCTTAAGAGTATTGTGCCTGACTCTCGTCCTCCAAAGCTGTATGGAAAGCTTGCAGGGAACAAAAGCTCCCAAGAGCAAACCGGAGCAGATTACTTAGCCTGGACCCGGCAAGGGTGGGGCAATTCCGCCTCCGGCAAAGACATTTGGGAACCACGGCAACAGGCCCCTCCCCCAGAAGATCAGTAAGAACAGCCAGCCAACACCAAGTTTACCGATCAATGAGAATAGCAGAACTCCAGCACTAGGGGATACAGCACATAGAATTCATGGCTTCTTTTCCCGTGATTCTTTAGTCTTTCAAAGTTAAATTTTTTTAATTTTCTTTTTCTTTTTCTAATTTTTTTTTTAATTTTTCTTTTTCCCTTTTTCAACCAACATCTTATCAATCCCTTTTTTAAAAATCTTTTTTATTTTTCATTTTTTGAGTCATATTCTATCCCTTCATAGTAGTTAACCTTATTTTTGGAACATATATAAGTTGTTCTCTCTTTAAAATTTTGGGATACAGTTTCTTCTAACACACCAAAATATACGCTGAATCTCTAGTATATGGCATTGTTCTAGTCTCCTGCCTGATGACATTCTCTCCTTTTTTTTAATTCCTCTTCTTTCTTTTTTCAAACAACTTATTATCAATTCCTTTTATAAAACCTTTTATAAGGGGCGCCTGGATGGTTCAGTTGGTTAAGTGACTGCCTTCAGCTCAGGTCATGATCCCGGAGTCCTGGGATCGAGTCCCACATCGGGCTCCCGGCTCAGCAGGGAGCCTGCTTCTCCCTCTGACCCTCTCTGCTCTCATGCTGTTTCTCTCTCTCTCTCTCTCAAGTAAATAAATAAATAAGATTTTTTTAAAAAAATAGATAAAAAAATAAAATCTTTTATACTTTTCATCTTTACAGTCATATTCCATCCCTTCATTGTATTTACCCTTATTTTTGTACATATATAAGTTTTTCTTTCTTTAAAATTTTGGGAGGCACTTCTTTCTAACAGACCAAAATATGCCCAAAATCTAGTGTGTGGCACTGATCTATGCACCAGCCTGATCATATTTGATCATATTGCTTTTTTTTTTAATCTTTTTCCTTTCTTTCTCTTGCTTTTCCCCTGGTTTCAGGCCTCTTCTGGCTCAGTGTGTATTTTTCTGAGGTCGTTGTTACACTGTTAGCATTTTTTAAAAAAAGATTTTATTTATTTGACACAGAGAGAGAGATAGTGAGACAGAGAACACAAGCCGGGGAGTGCTAGGCAGGCTGAGGGAGAGGGAGAAGCAGGCTCTCCGCCGAGCAAGGAGCCTGATGCGGGACTCAATCCCAGGACCCTGGGATCACGACCCGAGCTGAAGGCAGCCGCTTAACTGACTGAGCCACCCAGACACTCCTACCCTGTTAGCACTTTGTTCTCTCATTCATCTATTCTACTCTGGACAAAATGACAAGACGGAAAAAATCACCTCAAAAAAAAGAACAAGAGATAGTAACGACTGCCAGGGACCTAATCAATATGGACATTAGTAAGATGTTGGAACTAGAGTTCAGAATGATGATTTTAAAGATACTAGCTGGGCTTGAAAAAAGCATGGAAGATATTAGAAAACCCTTTCTGGAGAAATAAAAGAACTAAGATCTAACTAAGTCAAAATCAAAAAGGCTATTAATGAGGTGCAATCAAAAATGGAGACTCTGCTAGGATAAATGAGGCAGAAGACAGAATTAGTGATATAGAAGACCAAATGATGGAAAATAAAGAAGCTGAGAAAAAGAGAGATAAACAACTACTGGATCATGAGGGCAGAATTCAAGTGATAAGTGATACCATAAGATGAAACAATATTAGAATAATTGGGATCCCAGAAGAAGAAGAAAGACAGAGAGGGGCAGAAGGTATACGTAGGAGCAAATTATAGCAGAGAACTTCCCTAATTTGGGGAAGGAAACAGGCATCAAAATCCAGGAGGCACAGAGAAACTCCTCAAAATCAATAAAAATAGGTCAACACCCCAACATCTAATAGTAAAACTTACGAGTCTCAGAGACAAAGAGAAAATCCTGAAAGCAGCTTGGGACAAGAGATCTGTAACTTACAATGGTAGAAACATTAGATTGGCAACAGACCTATCCACAGAGACCTGGCAGGCCAGAAAGGACTGGCATGATATAGTCAGAGCACTAAATGAGAAAAATATGCAGCCAAGAATACTATATCCAGCTAGGCTGTCATTGAAAATTGAAGGAGAGATCAAAAGCTTCCAGGACAAACAAAAACTAAAGGAATTTGCAAACACGAAACCAGCCCTACAAGAAATATTGAAAGGGGTCCTCTAAGCAAAGAGAGAGCCTAAAAGTAACATAGACCAGAAAGGAACACACAGACAATATACAGTAACAGTCACCTTACAGGCAATACAATGGCACTAAATTCCTATCCTTCAATAGTTACCATGAATGTAAATGGGCTAAATGCCCCAATCAAAAGACACGGGCTATGAAATTGGATAAAAAAACAAGACCTATCAATATGCTGTCTGCAAGAGACTCATTTTAGACCCAAAGACAACTCCAAATTGAAAGTGAGGGGGTGGAAAACCATTTACCATGCTAATGGACACCAAAAGAAAGCTGGGGTGGCAATCCTCATATCAAACAAATTAGATTTTAAGCCAAAGACTATAATAGGAGATGAGGAAGGACACTATATCCTACTTAAAGGGTCTATCCAACAAGAAGATCTAACAACTGTAAATATCTATGCCCCTAACATGGGAGCAGCCACTTATATAAGCCAATTAATAACAAAAGCAAAAAAAAAAAAAAAAAAAAAAGCGCAAAGAAACACATCAACAACAATACAATAATAGTAGGGGACTTTAACACCCCCTCACTGAAATGGACAGATCATCTAAGCAAAAGATCAACAAGGAAATAAAGACTTTAAATGACACACTGGACCAAATGGACTTCACAGATATATTCAGAACATTCCATCCCAAAGCAACAGAATACACATTCTTCTCTAGTGCCCATGGAACATTCTCCAGAATAGATCACATTCGAGGTCACAAATCAGGTCTCAACTGGTACCAGAAGATTGGGATCATTCCCTGCATAGTTTCAGACCACAATGCTTTGAAACTAGAACTCAATCACAAGAGGAAATTCGGAAAGAACTCAAATACATGGAGGCTAAAGAGCATCCTACTAAAGAATGAATGGGTCAACTCAGGATATTAAAGAAGAATTAAAAAAATTCATGGAAACCAATGAAAATGAAAACACAACTGTTCAAAATCTTTGGGATGCAGCAAAGGCAGTCCTAAGAGGAAATTATATAGCAATACAAGCCTTTCTCAAGAAACAAGAAAGGTCTCAAATATACAACTTAACTCTACACCTAAAGGAGCTAGAGAAAGAACAGCAAATAAAGCCTAAACCCAGCAGGAGAAGAGAAA